TAAATCTTCCCTGCTAGGCAACGGGCTTAAGAGTTTTATTGTCGTGTACAACAAGCGGCTGGTTAGCTGCCATTTTCTTAAGATGTCACGTTGCGAATTACCTTCTTTATTTATAAAATTCATTATTTTCTTTACCAGTTTGAGGGGCTTGTTGGTCGAACAGTAGTAATGGTTGGGTAATAATCAGCGGGTCGTGGCTTCGATCCTCGCTGGGTCCACCATACATCTCATCCATTTTTCTGAAACAAGTTGGACTTCCTCTGGAAATCTGGATATTAAATAGCCAACCTATCTTCTGCTCAGGGCACGAACCACCGTTCACAGATCAAACGTCGTCAAATTTAATCACGTTTCGGTATGTAGATTTCCGAATACACAAAACCAGAATAGGCCGACAGCGTATCGAGTTGAGATCGTAATGGTTCAGCCATTGTGCTCTATAAATTAAGTCACCTCTATGCTTGTCTGTCCTCCTCCATAATTAAAAAAATTTAACAGTTAAATTTATTACTACACTTTTACAATCAGCTCCTTCCTGTTACCACGGCTGCTACAAAGCATCATACTGTGGAAATTTAGTAAACGAACAATTAATTAAGTGTTTATTTAATGGGGATTTAAGTAAACTACATAGAATGCTTAATATTTATCTAAATATATATTTTGCACTCATTGGTGTCTTAAATCATCGTAAATATTATTCTTATAGCTTTCCCAATTTTCTCTTCTAATATTATACCTACTTAAATGTTTATAAACATTTAAGTAACCAATATGGTTACTTAATTCATATTTAGCACACTGCCTTGTACACACAAGGAAGAACACAACATTATGTGTTGCAGGTACTTTATATTATTGTATACAATTATTAAATCGTAAATAAAAAAAAGAAACATGTTGAGAAAATCTATCTGTTCAAGCTCTAAAAACATAATTTCCAACTTTTAGCTAAGAAGCAAAAATATAGAGTTTGTGCAATGACTGTGTCCTATATTAGTGATGGCAATGTAACACGGTTACTTAGTCTATAATAAATTACTTCATTACGCGAACGTCATAATCCGTGGTTAACTAACACAAATGCTCGGCGAACAGCAGTTTGTTTAGATTAAAACTTAATGCCCTAATGTAATTAATAGCAGACAAGCAATATTTTTCTGCTAGCATATAAATAAGTGTGTCGGTCGAAACGGGCACAGACGTCTGATATACAAGTGATAAAAGTGCGTCTGTAATGCATAGGGTATTCTATTATGCACTTTCTGATGATTTAATAAACGCCTGTACCTTTTTGTAAAGCAATGTTTACTTATCAGGGTTAGCTCAAATTTTATAATATTCTTATGTGTTTTGAATTAAATATTTTATTACTTCATTTATTTATATTATTCATTAGAGACCACGGTTGTGCAGACCAAAAAAGGCGCCTGTTTAATAATTCTAATGTCTTATGTATAGAAATTATTTTTTAATATTTCTTTTGTTATTTTTTGTGCAAATAAGAGTTTTATTATTTAAATTATCTCCGAAATCAAAGCAGATCAGTCGACTGTTGAATTTTAATTCATTAAAAACTACCTTTACTAAAAACTAAACTTAAGAAATTTAAATAAAACACTTTAACGGTTTAAAACGCGATATATTAATTAAACTTATTTGAAAATGATTTTTAACTTCGGCCCGACGTTTCGGATGCTTTGCAGCAGCCGTGGTCTCCCCGTGACCGTTAAAAGTAGTTAGTAGTAGACCGTTAGTTTTTTAAGTTCTTTTATTATGTAAATCTCATTATAAATGCAAAAAAAAAAGCTTATGAGAAGTAAAGTCTATAAACCTAAAATGTTTTATTTAAATGTATACTACTCGCGTAAACTATAGACAATATTTACCTTTAGAAATGTTTTATAAGAATATTTAATACAAACAAAAACCCTAGAATTTTGTTATTCTCAACGCACCGTTAACGTAATTAGTGAGACGCCATTCATTAGTATCTCAAGAAGAGATAAGAAAGAAGATGAGTGCGATCAAAGAAACATTATACACGAGAGAGCTCAAAATCTCTCGTTAATTGGCCTAATCCACATAACATCGTACTCAAATGTTTTTGTATCAAGACGCTGCACCGATGTTTTCATTAGGCGAAATGTATTTTCTTGTTTTGATACGCTTGTGGAATGTTGAACTGAAAAGAAACGACTCTTAAATAAGTATTGTTTATAGTTAACGCAGGTATTGCACATTTAAAAAAACACTACTAAGGGGGGGGGGGTTTTGATTTTTTTTATTTGAAAAGAAATAGAAGTTAGTTGTGGGTGGTAAGACGAGAGTTTTTTTCATAAACCATTTATTTTATAATTATTAGTACTTTGAAAATTGGCTGGCAAAAACAGATAAATTATGAAAATATTAGCGTTGCATGGTGCTAGGCTTTTGCAAGAAAATAAGCATGTTGAGGTGTTGGAGACTCAATTCCCAGTATAGTATATATTTCTTTGTTGTTGTGTTACAGTATATATTTACGTCCAAAAAGCAACTAACTATTGTCTGTAGTTTACGCGAGTAGCGCACATTTTATTAAAACATTTTTAAGGGTTTAACCAATTTCCAACTGCACTTATTTAAAACCTAACTGCCTTAAACATTCGTTAACCTTGAGGTTTATCGTTCTTATTCCCTTATGTGGAGCGTGATACATTTCTCTTACTATCAATTTTTTATTAATTCTCACATTTGCTCTGCGCTTGTATCAAACCCAGGATCTCCGCTAGATTTTGAAGTACCCAGTAGTGTAGTTATCGTGGCACCATGACCTGCTTATATTGAAAAGAGATAAGCGTAAAGGAAAGTTTTTGAATTTTCTGTTCTTGTCCCTATCCTTAAGTTTGGAGGGTTCAAGCAAGCTACTCTTAGTAGAGGACGCCCTATTATTAATGTACCGGGGCCTCGCTACGCTACAGCATCGATCTTCGCAAAATCTCAAGTCGAACATTTAATAACCGAAATGATCAGAATCACGATAAAGGCATTCATAAGATCGAAGACGCGACAACAGCGTCTGCAGATACCGTTTGTGCGAGGAGTCAAGTTTGACAGGTGATTTGGGTCCGCAGAACTCTTCCGTCGTCTACGGCCCGTATCTATTGACACATGTTATTGAATTGTTCGGATCGGCCAGCAGTAATTGATTGTGCAGTAAATGAACAGATTTATAGAAATCGAACTGGATTCATTCATTATTTAATTCAAAATGTTAACGGTCAAATGGTAGCTACGTATGGCTAATAATCTACGGGTTCTATATTCGATCTCCACCAGGACCGACCTATTTCTAATTAATTTTTAACTTGAAACATATTGGACTACGTTTGAACATCTTGATAATATATAGGTGGTTGTAATATCAAAACTCCGTCTACGTCATGTAAAATTCACAGATGAAAAGGCCGTGAAATTTAATCGCGTTTCGGTTTCAGCCTGTGGATTTCTGAATGTTCAAAGACAAAATAGGCCGACAGGGCATGTTTTCGAGATTTTATACGACTGGCTGTTTCACTTACTATCAAGTAGACACCATGCTCGTCTGTTTTCTATCATAAAGAAATAATAAATACTATTTCATTCGCTTCGGTAGAACGAATAGAAATAGAGTGATATTCTTGGATCGAAATTAAACTACTACAATGGGTAAATTCATTTTGTTTCTAACTTAAAATATTGTAATCGGTTCTGTAAAGCATTATATTTAATAAACTCTACTCATCACATTTATTGAATAAATAAAAAATATTTTGTATTGAAAATTACTTCGTCTTTTAATTTGTCATTTGTTTCGATACATGGAGACTCCTACACGGGATAAGGAAAAAGGTGCGAATGAAAAAACATGTTCAATTATCATACGTAATAATTATATTCAATAAACTTTTCGTTTATATTAATTGAATAGGATAAACAATTAGCCAATATCCATGCAAGCCATAAATGCTTTAGCTGTGAGTCTAATGATAGCTTGATTACTCTTAATTAACTTTAATTTACAATTATTTGGGAATATCATCACAGCTTCACAAAACAAGCATAACATCGAAATAACAAAACAATTTATTACTTTCACCTCCTATTTGTTTAAAACTATAAAACAATATTCGATGGAACTGCTCAAATGCAGCCTCCATTAAATGCATAAATACTGTTACAGTTTAAATTTTAAATGAATGAAGGGAACTGATAAAATTCCAACTAAGTGTAACAACATTTTTTCGATATATTTAAGCGTTTATTGCATATATACATGTAATCTAGCTACGTCGAATTGTAGACAAGTTATGTGATGTTTTGGTATTTGAAGTTCCTAGTTCCTACTCTAGTCAATCTTTGGATTGAGTATTTTCACTTATTTAATGTAAGGAATGTGCGTATTCTATAACTTTGTAGACTTTAACGAGAAGTCAAGTACGTTATATTTAATATACAGAACGTACATCTACAGAAATGTGCGATATAACTTTAACATATATTGACTCAATATATTTATACATCTTAATGTAATTACACCTATATATTCAACTAAATAAGTACCTATTAAATATATAAGTGATGAGAAGAGATTATCCACCTTTTGAGTTCTATAAATTTTCTATGATCGTAATAAATAAAAACAATTATGATACATACTTACACTTTGAAACTGTAGACCTTTATATAGTACAAAATATATTTGAGATTCAAAATATGTACGAGTGTTTATACATTCCGACTCATGACATACCAGCAAATAGCGATCTTTTTACAATGTACCGTTTTGTGATAGTTTTTTTTTAAGGGAATGGTTCTACTGATTACTAATCAATACTTATAATTTTAAAGACTTTAATACATTTAGGATGCACGATGAAAGATTTAATACTAGCATGGCACTATACACCATAACAATTCTTATTCAGTCTTCCTCACAATGATGTCACAAGTCACAGTTTAGAGAAATTTTCACTCCGCGCTCAGACCATTTTTCGTTCGGCCATAGCGTGCGGATGGCCCGGGTGGTAGTGGCCGGGGGACGTCGGCTCGTAGAGTGACATCTTCAATCTCTTACACTTCGCTCGCCGATTCTTGAACCAGAACTGTACGTTTTTTGACTCGAGCCTCGGAAATTTTTGCCTGTACGGCATCCTGTTTAGCTCTTCTGTGTATTTTAAAATGAGGTTATGTGATGGGTGTGTGTTCATCGAGAACCACTGTTCGAGGACGGGGACCTCTGATACAGGATCTATAAAGGTTCGGTTGCGTTTGCGCCGTTCGTCGGAGGCGCCGGCCAAAGCGAGATTCAGGCCGCTCGCGCCCTCACCGGGCACAGGTCCTACTCCGGGGAAGCCACTCATGTATTGGCTCATATACATAATTCCGTGGCTGAACATAGGATGATTAGGCACCATGGGGAACGGCAGACGGTCGAGGTGCGGTGACGCTGGTCTGTAGTGCCGTTCTTGGACAACTTCGTCGTCCGAAGCCAAATCCTGCTCGTCGACAATACCGTTTTCGTCGTCGTTGTTGTTGTTATTATTGTTGTGCGAACTGTCACTGTTTTTGGCCGGTGACCGATGTGGTGAATGCATTTGTTCCGGCTTCGAGAGATCACGCGGCTCTTGCTTGATGTCGTGTACCTGGAAACGAAGAAAGGGTAATAACATTGTACTCTGTGCCTCTTGTTTGTTTTTGTTAATAATTACGAATTAAAATTTTAGCTATTGTTAAACATTCCGATCAATTTGGATATATAGAATGATATTGATATAGAATAAAACTTAAAAATAAAAGGTTTCCATAAACCATAATTATTGTAACATTCAACAACAACTAAGGAAACAATTTAAAAGAAGGTTGGGAAAATATTAAAAATCTACTTTAAATATATACCTTTATAATATCTGGCGGTTTGGGTGATTCCTTTGATGAGTCTTCTTTCTCATTTTCATTGTTGTTTTTCTTTGTTGTAATGAGAGATAATGGTGCGTCTGGGCTCTCCGGCCTATCATCGTTATTCATGTCCACGCCATCGTCTTCTAAATCAGATCCAGCATTTGACAGGTTATCTTCAGACATAACTGACATAGGATATCTTCCTGGGCTCCCAGACAGCTGGCCCATGGGGCTCTTCAACAAGTTATGGTCATGAGGTGAAAAGTTCTCATTTCCAGTGAGTAAAGAACCGTTAGATGGACTGTGACTTCTGCTGTTGAAACCGTTCATACCAAGATGACCTCCCAATCCGCTAATATTACGTAATTCTGCACGTTTCTGCGCAGCTCGTGCGTTTTTGAACCAGTATACGACATTATTAACGTCTAATGGTTTCCTTCCTCTTCTCGACTCTAAATTGTTCAACTCGCGAACATATTGTTGAATTTGTTGTCTACTTGGATGTTGGTTTTCGGAAAACCAACGCTGAAGCTTGGGCAATTCAAGTTCTGGATCAAAGCTAGTCCTCATCCTTGTTTTCTGTGTGGGGTATTGACTTTGAACAGTTTGCAGAGCAGGATGTAAATGATCGGGGATCGTGTTTAGCGTCGGCGATCTGTTCTTTGGGCCTGGTGAAGGGTACCGGCGTGGACTAAACGGTGGCGGTCGAGGCGAAACCTGGGCGGACCACCACGATTCAAATTTCCGTCGGGTCTCTTCCGTCGGTTCATGAAAGTTATGAGGTCCAGGCGTCCTATCTTGACCCCTACAGATTTGTGCCAGTGTCACCTAAAACAATAAAAATGTATATCAGGTCTCACGCTACCAGTGCTTGTTTGTACAACAGATACAAAATAAAAGGAACCGCAAACAATTTTAGATGGTTTTAAAGAGGTCAGTCTAACCAGTAACAGATACAGAGATAATTGTTTGAATAAACAACGAGCATTGTTTCATAGAACATCGCCATTAGATTATGAAAATATTAGGCCAACTGTTAATGTATGTGTCATGCGCATGCGCCGAGCTCGGCGTAGACAAGAGGTGTTTGCTCGTTGGTTAGTGCACATCACTCGTTCGCTACCGCCGAAACTTCAATCATGGCTTGCTCTAAAACAATGAGCGGGCAGGGCGTCTTTACAATTAGCATCCACCCACAACTCCTTAATAAAACGCCGGCGTACCGTAGAACTAAGTGGTTCTACTAAAGTGTTTCACCGGGAGTTGATTGAAAAGTATACATTCCACGTATAACTATGTACGATAAACAGAATCTGATTTAAACAGTGTTTAAGTTGCGTAACCGCATTCAACATATCGACTTGTTTACTCGGGCGTTAAATTACTTAAAGCGTAATCTAGTCTATATATATATATATATATATAGACTAGATTACGCTTTCAGATATAGAATAGACAAACTATATATATAGTTTGTCTGTACATTAAATAAATTATGAAAAATAATGTAGGAAATATGAAAACAAACAATAAATTCATTCATCTTTTTGTTGTGTAATTGTTTGATGATCTAGGTATAGCGCGTTTTTACATAATAGACTCAATACATATTATTTGTAAAGTCTAATTAAAATATATAAGTAAAACAATAATATATATTGTTTAAAATTCATAGGCTTTTATTTAAAAATAAAACCCAGTCTATTACGTTTATTTAGAATATATTTATATATATACTAAAATATCACTGAGAATAATTATATATATATATATATATACTCAGTGATAGATTAGTCTGATATGAGCTTTTAAATAAAACACTATTTAATAGTCTAAAGGGCACAATGTTACCTTATTTAAGTTTAACTACAGGCCGACGTGTTAGATGCTTTGCAGGAGCTATCCTCACGTGACTAGTTAAAATAAATTGTAAATAAGTTAACTAACATATTTCGCGTTTTCAATCGTTAAAAAGTTTACGCGAGTAGCTTAAATTAAAACGTGTAGTAGTCGCGTAAACTACAGGCACCACTTATTGTGTGCTGCCGACCTATTATGGCATGGGACATGAAAAAATATTGCGTTGCTCAGAATGAAGCGTTCGTTACGACACGTGTTAAAGTCAAGCTAGAAGCATTAGCGCCTAGCCCGAGTGATACGTTAATCCGCTTCTTTGTTTTGTGTTTTTAAATAGTGCAGCCATATTTGCTTTCAGATATTGTCCGCTTTAGATACATGGAAGATTTACGAGGCCTGGCGCCTGCGCGATAATTGTGTCACGTGTCTCTGCGCACGAAATTCGGTTCGCGATTGTGAACATCGCCTTTTTAACGCTTTCGTCTCCTATAAATGCGAAAAATAACCTTTGTGCGTTCAGACACGTAAATCGAATTTAACGCAAATATTTTGTATTTTAAACCTCGTCGTTACGCACGAAATGGACATGAGTAACGTAACGCGTTACGTCTATAGCAGACCGCAGCCTACGAACACCTTAGAATACAATAGGCTTAGCGTTATCTGATATTAGTAACATTCTGTTTATATTTGCTACTTTGCGCCTGTCAGAATTAGAGGAGATAAGAAATTATACAGATATCATTAAGAATTTATGAATTCATCTCTTGATACTAAATCAAACAGTTTCAAGAACGCAAGAATTTTGAGATGAAAGCAAATTGGCGCGATAAATTAGCATAATATAGGATCGGAGTTCATCTGGCGTTTAGAACTTCTAAGAGAGCGTTTGATTATCTCATTGTTACTTTACATTTGTTCCAACTTTGCTACTTGCAAAGTGTTTTACGTTAGTTAAGACATTGTCTGTAGTTAACGCGAGTAGTACACTTTTAAAGAATAACCTTTTAACTAATATATTTAAGATGCGAAATATATTAGTTAAATTATTTACAATTTATTTACTACGGAATGACGTTTCGGATGCTTTACAGCAACTGTCACCCCGGCCGTCATTTCGATTCATTATTAATTATTCGTCATTTGATTTTAATTAAATCGTAAATAAGTTAACTAATATGTTTGGAATTTTGAATCACTATATATTTTAAAAGCCAATATCTAGTTATAGATTGATATAAAGCTAAAAAATAATGACTTTAGTATTAGTTTTTGAAAATCTGATAAGAATTTGAATATCTATTAAATTGTAAAAAAATGTAAAATGAAGTCTAGGAAACTTAATTAACGCCACTAGGTTGTGGTGTATGCTTATAAATTATAATTAAATCACTATGAGAATCCAATTTAAGGGATGACTTTTTGACGATGAAATAGCCGGAAAAAGATATTTTACATGTCAAATTTTATTTATTTATAAATACAATTAAAACGCCCGAAGCCACTGAACCGTTGCAGGTATAAGAAAAAATACATATAAAAATAATTATATAAGCGTTAAAAGATACATCTTCACTTTTTTATCTGTGGTACACCACAGACCACCAGATAAAAAAAGTAAAAATTTAGTCGCGTTTCAGCTCTAGTCTGTGGATTTCCGTAAGTCATAAGGTATATATGTTGATGCATGCATCTTGTCTTGATATTATGTATATGGTTTTGGTATTTAACCTTCCATCATGTTGTAGCCCATAGTTGTCTTTATGGCTCTACCATTAAAAATCTATACACCAGCGCCTCTCAACGCCTAGCCTATGCTATCCCTATGGATAAATCGAAAACCCAAAATCAATAATTTGTATAGAACAATGTAAAGGGGAAACGGAATTCATTTTTGAAAATGTCCTGTACTTGGTTGAGTGTTAGAAGCGAAAATTGAAATCTCAGCCCCGAATCGCGTTAAGGGGGTGAGCTAACCTCGTGTATAATGAGATTATAAAGCATTATTTTATGGTATTAATAAGATCAAAAGCGTTCGTACATCGCAACTCCTTTTAACCCTCTTCAAGAAGGGCGTCTTACACGCCGTCACTACGCTGTGGGAGTGGGCGTTTATAATAATATTTTCTGAAGGCTTCACGGGTCTTTTTGATCTTTGATAAAAGTTAATCGTTTTTACACGGAATTCGAACACTATCCAAGTTGGAAGACTTTAATATTTCGCATGTTATAAATTAAAAATCCATTTTAGATGGACAAAAAACGCAAGTGCCAAATTTGAATGCAAGTATCAATGAGTTGAAAAAATTCAATCTCAATTGGTTAGAGCAACATCACGGAACGTTGTGACTTCAGGTTCGAGTCGTGCCTGTAATCATATTTTTTAAAATCTAAATCGATTTTTTGTTCATATAATGCCATCATGTGCATAACACGAACAATTTAGTTAACTTGGGCTTTAGTTTAAACATTTGGCAATAGTTATGCCGGTTCAAGTCCCGTGCGTGTCGTCAATTTTTTTTTCTAATCAAAAGAGATTCCTAATTTAAATAAAAAATCACGTTATTTCACATGATGGCATTATATAAATTAAAAAAAAAAATAAATACCAAACGGGCAGGACTCGAATCGGTATCTACAGCGTTCCATGCTCTAACGCGGTATCTCAATCCGTCTTTCAGTTTAATCCAAAATCGATTTTAAATTTACATGTAAAAATAATAATTTTCAAACTGCAACTGAGAAACTTGTAACAAGTGAAAGACGCGTACGTGAATACGAGCGCGAGGAAAGATCCTTATTACCGGGGACTTAGGCGTTACCTTGTAAATTATAACGAGGTACCGATATACGCGAGTCTACTTAACAAGACTTTGATAATCTGTCTCCATCGCTCAGACCCCGATGAGCTTCTCATTTGTATATTTAAGTGATGTCGAAATTGTTAAGAGGTATTAAAATAGCTTTAAGACTTTTCACTTTGCGTCTTCCCTGTTCATTTTTTGCTTTTACATTGGGCCTTGGGACCAGTTTAATATGTTGTATAAAAATTAAATTTTTATATGAAACAGAAGGGCAATCCAATGTGGTATCGACCTATTTTTGGATTTGGATTCGGAGATCTGTGGATCTCCGAATCCAAATCCGTTAAATTAGTCTGTGGACTAAAACCAAAACGCGATTAAAGATCACGGCTTTTTATCTGTGGACGGTGGTGGTGGGTCCGGACTGAATTATTGATATTCCTATCACTCATTTAATAATCAAGACTTTCAGACGGAGTCCAACATGTTTTAGGAAAATTATACATCGATTAGAAACACGTCATCTCAGCATTTCAAAGTAACCATATTTAATACTGTACTATGTCGTACTTGTGTCGTAAATAACACTCATTTAACGTAATTTAATCAAATTTAATTATAGACCAATATCTATAAAATAATACGGACTAATCCTACGAAAATAAAACAAAAAAACAAGTATTTTTTATTTAAAATCGATCGTTATGTTTATCCATCGAATAGCAATCAAAATAATAAATCTACCCACAATAATCGTAAACAAATACTTTCAATTGCGAATGGAAGGCCATTCAGTGGCGGGCTTAAACCAGAAGACAATGAGTTTCCAGTAATAAGGGGGGAAATATTTAGGGGCGAGGGGGTTTATTGTGTTGTGTCCCGGGGTTACAATCAGGTATTAAAACGTAACATTACCGGGACACTGGGAATCTGGCTGAACCCAGTGTAGCGAGATCGCTTTGTCGCTGCGAGTTTGGTTTTAATGCCTCGTTTGATGTTATTCGCTCTGACAAGTGTTTAGATTACGAGAATATTGTTTAGTGAATATATTTAAAATCGTGGGATGCACAATTCATAACTAATATAATCTTACTTAATAAGTCATGTCCAACTATCTTTTAACTATACTAAGTGCACATTTTGTTCAATATTTTAATCATTGTCAGCTGTATTTGTGAGGCTGCTAGAGGCAGAGTGGCCTAATAACAAAAAATACGATTTTCAATAAAGAGGAAAATAAAAATTCAATGCGCAATGACCTTAGGCGAAAATGAATTTGTTCTATTCACTGTCACTGTGCTCTTGTAAATTAATATTTTTAGAGTTTGAAAATACAAATAACTCAAGTCTTAAAATTGCAGTTTCACTAGTCTACCTCTAGCGGCCTCATATATATGTGCGTGGTTGATAATTTAATGCAAAATGCCCGCTACTTCGAATCGGGGATAGGAATTGAACTTTGGTATAGTTAGTTTACCTCATCTAAAGGACACCCAGTAGACATCAGTAATGGTCTACTCTGCACCAAAAGCAGCCTCAGTAACTTGTCCTTAATGTCTTGAAGCGGTGTCAGCCGTGGTCTCAGCAACTGAATTCTTAGAGTCGCCACAGTTGTCAATTCTCCTAAGACTTCACCAACGGTGGCCAGAGGTCCATCAGATATACGTTCAAATGTTAAGGGTTTCCAATTGTTTATAACTACTGATCCTGTTAACAAATATATAATTTATTACAATATTACAAATATATTATTTATATAACATAATTATTACACAAACAACGCAGGAATGGTTTACATTAATAAAAACTTATGAGCTAGCTTGTAAATAAAAAGCGGCCATATTGCTAAACAGCGATGTCTTCCGGGCAACCAAATGTGAAGGGAAATAAGAAATAAAGGACTATAGGTATGTGGTGCTAGAGAACAACGGCGATTAGGAACTGGAAAGATACAATCTAAAAACTGAGGTTTTAAACGTTACGGAGAGATTGAGTTTTTTCCATTTAAATAGGGACATAGTTCCAGAAATTAATCGCATTTAGTGGCTTACATATATTGCATTATATTATTTAGTAGAAGATACTGATTTTTAAATTGTCATTCACAACTATATTTGTGTTAAGTTTTACCTTTAGCTGAAGCAGCCAATTCGTGAGGATATCCAAGCCTCATCATGGCGGCTGGTACCAATTCGTGGAAAGCAGTGGCCGCTGGAATGATGACGTAACTGTCTGTCTCTACTACGGCTCGTCGTCTCCATGCACCTTCCTCGAGGGATGATACTGCTTCCACAACGCAATGAACTGGCAGGGTTTTACCTGTGACAAAGAGAAACAAGAGATTAAAAATGTATTAGTTATTATCTATACTAATATAGAAGCTGACGAGTTTTTGTCAGGAACTATTGCTTTAAATTGTAAAATTATTTTTATGTCGGAAAATGTATCGAAAAAGAGAAAACGTATCGAGGAAGGCTAACAGCAAATATGGAAAAACTGTCAATCTTTTTGGATTTTACGATGCCCACGCTGCGAAAACCGATATAGATATCGAAAAAACACATATGAAAGAATGATTCCTCTTTAAATGATTTTTAAAAAATCATGGACACTATATATCTATATTTTAAGATTAATTTGCAAGTATGACGGCACGCGACCGACGTCGTGTTTAACACCTTAAATGTATAAAAATAAAGAGGAGGTTTGCAGAACGAATTTGGATGCACAAAATAACTATTCTACGGGGACGAAGTCGCTGACACAGCTAGTCTTATAGTTATGATATGTATTCTGACTTTCGAAATTTGAACGAAATTACATCCTTTAGCTTTATAAAATTATGGTACATAAAATGGTTATCAATGGAAGTAAATACCTTGTTTGTAATAAAGCGAATGAGTACAGTACATTAAATAAGTCATTAGCAAACAGTATTAAAACAATATTCTGATGTCTATTAATGTAAAAACTGGACGCAAAAGTTTCCGACGCCTGAAAAATCTTAAGACGTCGAAACGTTGTCGTTGAGAAGGCATCTTAATTATTTAGTAACTTTTCAAGCGAAAATGCTTTTGACTCGCTCATAGCGTTAAAAAAAGAAGTGAAACGTTAAAATAATAATTAATCCTTGTTCTGTCGAAGCGTCGAGGCCGCTTTGTCGGCCGTCGCTTTTACAGTCACTTTGTGAGCCTCTTCAGCGATATTAAATAGTTCTTGCTGCTTCGCTGCGTTTTTATGCTGCATTAAAATATCGTGAAAAGAATTTTAACGCCTAAGAGCGACCACTTAGGACAGGAATAAATAAATAAGCAGACGGCGAAAATTATTCTTTGTTTATCAATGTCTTCAAAATGTATACACATTGCGAGAGAGGTGCATGCATCAATGGGGGTAATTCGACGATGGCGTGTACGACACGGTGGCTCAAATACCCCGAGTAGCAGCAAGGAATGCTTTGGATGCCGGTTCAAGTCTTGCCCAGTTCGTAATTTTACACATTTATATATATATAGATCCAATCATTTTATATTGCAACTCAAGAAGTAACACCGGTTTTAAAACTATTTTATAATATGCGTAGGTAAATACTGTCTCTTGTGTACATTTACATAAAACAATTTAACGGTTTAAAACGCGGTATATATTACTCAAATAAGTATAAACACTATCGCGTTTTAAACCGTTATAGTATTTTATTTAAATATAAGTAGGTAGTTAGTAATACTCTTGTATCGTAGAAAATTTTATGAGCTCTACCTATAACAATAATAAAAGTGTGATTAGACAATGATAGGCAGATTGTAATTAAAATAACATTGTCAGGACGGGTTAAAGTGGAAAATAATGGAGGGTACTTTAATAGTTTTCGAAGTTCTTCCACCGAGATTTGGCGGGTAGTTTCAGGTTAGCACCTATGCTTTAATATGGATTAGTTGTGATTTAGTAACGGACCTCGCCGCGTTGTCCTTTGGTCAGTTAAATCCGTAGGCTTAGAGACGCTGACTATATTAATAACAGCTTATGCTGAGTGAATTATCTATTTAATTATATTCATAACTCGGTTACATTGAATATTATATATATATAGAAGGTCAAGACTAAGTTCTATTTTTCACTTCTATACAAATTCAAAGTTTAAAGCCTTGTTCATACAATTTGGCTAAGCATTTAACTTTAAATGTTAGTGTAAAATAAATAAACATACAAATAAAATATATCAATTACGCCGTCGCTGAGTAAAATTCAGAAGATTTAAATTCAACTATGTTTAGTGTTGTCTTTAGTTTACGCGAGTAGACATTTAAATAAAACATGTTCAACGGTTAACTTTTTCTGATTTGATCTCGATATTTTGCGTTTTAAATCGTTAAGAGTGTTTTAATTAACTGTACTGCGTAAATAACGATGACTAAAGATACTATGAAAGTACAGCCATTGTCTGTTTCTTAAACATAAGAAAGTAGAATCTAAACATTAGTGTTATATATTTTGTAAATTACTTCTTAATTAATAGATAATAACCTCCACATAGCTATAAAACTTTGGGTTCCGACTGTTTCGTTCTCTTTATATATTTATATGTTCCTACAGTCGGACACACAGATGACCAGACAACAGTGGATTATAGCGCACATAACGAGAACTCGCTAATCTCCAGCGAGGAACGTGTACTGTAAATAGCATCTTAGCTCGCTACATTGTTCATTAGCGCATAACATAAAATAGCAATTAGGTACGCTCGCTCCAAAGCTTAACCGATCTAAGCTCTCTTGAAAAGATCTCAGTCTTTAACAAAAGGGTGCACCGATGTCAAGGAGCACCCTGTATAAGTACGAATTAAAACTTTACTAAGAAGTTACGTAGACGATGTGCTAAACTGAAAATTTAATCTTGGCATTTAGTCTGGGCGGGTTAATGAGTAATTATGTGCTCGTAAGTCCACGTAGCGATGGCTAATAATCAACACATCTTGGGACCAATTTACAAAGGTCAAAAATTACTTATATTCAATTTTTTTTTGAAACATTGGACTTGTTTAGAAAAACATAATATCAAATGTAGTTAGGGCTATTTAAATTTTGTCCGGGGTCCGAATTACTATCCATAGATAAATAATCTATGGATTCTATGGATTTCTGAATATACAAATCTTAAAGATGTAGACAGAGCATTTTGTTAAGTTTGTTATATGGCTGGGACATCCTAGTCTATAAAAATAATAATGTAATATCTATCGATTGGTTTTTCTTATTTTGTAGTAAATATACGTTTCTGTGTGTTATTAATTGTGTTTATCTGGTAACAGGGTCTTCAATAGCAATAGCCTAGATAGTTCCCGTTGTTGATTTTATAAGTTGTGTTGTATAATAAGTGGTAAATAAACTTACTAAACCAAAAGATTATAAGTACTAAGTAAGATAAATAATAATCACAAGGCAATCAAATATACACACATATATTTGTAAAGGTGTCTTCGGCGTAGACTGACGTTGTAGCACCTTGCTACGAATTTAACTTCATATTTAACTTAATTTATTCAATTGTATGTGAATGAAATTTAGTTAAACGAAGTTGGTATTTGTCAAAAGCAGCTGGGTCATTCAGAACTGATAATTCTTAAGTTAAAATAATTAGTTAAAGTAATTAATTTTCAAATAAATTTAACTACTATATATCGAGTTTTAAACGTGAACTACAGACAGTATTTAATTTTATCGCAGATCACACAATGAACACAGAGTATAGCTGATGCGGTATCTATAGCATGTAGCACCAGTAATTACCACAAATGAATGAGGGATTCAATAGGATTTGCGTGTTCAGGTATCATTCGTGAGCGATGATCTATTTAGATCGGATAAATCGTGCGTGACGGATGCTGAAGCCAAGCAAATACTGGCTAATCACAACATTCGTGACATGCCGATACGGGACACCCTGTACGTGGTGTTAACGCCCTGTTTCGACCACAACTCGTATGTAAACGGTGTGGTTTTATGAAAGCAAACAGATATGCCTCTAAGAGACGTTAATGATGAATGTTAGACCCGATGACTAAAATATTAATAATTCTTAAATGGATAAGGTGAACAAAAACGCTTGATAAAATACATTTGCCCTATAATATGTAATTATTTGCAAAATCTAAGTATTTTTGTCTCTGACTGGCGACGCAAGTACATTCAAACAAGAAAAAGGAGTTTTTTTATATTATTATTATTTAATAAACGAGGTGAAAGTGGAAATGCTTTTTCCGTTATATTTTGTTGTTAAGAAGCGATTGACTTATTATTGGCTTTGTATACTTATAACATACATTACATACTTACAATGTACAAATAAACAAGGAAAAAAGGGAATTATATTTTGTTTGTAAACAAAAAAAGGGATAATGATTTTCTAAATTAAAATGTAATCATGATACGCGAAGTTACGGATAAAATACAAAGTGTCACGCTTACAAAACAAATACTTTGAAAAATTTATATAAATATTTAGCTTGCCCTATGCTATAAAAGCTAATGTGATGATGTTACAAAAAGATTTGGATTTTTGATAGATGTGGCACCTTTTTTCAATCGTTTTTATTTTTAATATATATTAGAAGTTATAAATAAAAAATAGAGAATTTTTGTAATTGATTACTAAAGGAATACTTAATTACAAATTATAATAATATAACAATGCATTTATTACATAGATTGTTAGCTATTATTAATATCTTTCACATACTTTTTAGTACTATTAAAAAATAAATGTGCGTGTAACATTTATTTAAGTGTAAACACAATAATATACAGTACATACTATTATATGCTAGTAGGTACGAATTCATAATTATATATACATATAATTGTTACATTAGAAGAGTACGTTTGTACAATTTTTTCACAATCTGTACTGTTTCCATCAAGTTTGAATGCTGGATTTTAGTTAAATAAGAATTCTTAATGTGATCTAAGCAAATTGGACGATGCCGTGGACGTATGGACTGACACCTAAGCCGGCCAGGTAATCCCTTTACCGACCCCAAAACTTTCACCTGGACATCCCAGACGAACTAATGCGCAGACTTTAACCGGACCAAGCTTAATTCGGATTGTCTTACATTTGATCAGTTGCACTGTATTGTCTGTAGTTTACTAGAGTACACGTTTATTCAAAATATTTCATCTGTAACAAAACTTCGTCTGGAAATTGGGATATTAAATGAATGGTTCAAAGATTCCGTCCGGGTCGCGAACCACATCGACAGATGAAAAAATATTCCCGAATATCCTAACCCAAATTAGGATGTTATGTGGCTGGGCTATTAT